GTCAACACATCCTCCACCCAGATCTACACCCTCCTGAAGGCAGGGTTTCCATTTCTCTAACCCTTCAATCCTCACAGAATTGTGCACTTTGATTCACAACATGTCAAAACAGTAAGTAGTTTGGACATCTTTGAGGGACTCAATTCAGGTTCCTTTTAATGTTCTTTGAGTTTTGGCAACAAAAAGAAGTTTAAAAGGGCAAGATCAGGATTTTAGGATTGATGGAGTAAGGCGTCCCAATGAAATCCTCATAGAACAAATCCCCCTGCTACCTTTGAATGAGCAGGTAGATGCATTGTCAATGAAAAAAAATTCCTTGATACAACTTTCCTGGCCTTTTTCTCACCAAGCTGCTTTCAATTTTCTTAAAACTTCTTCATGATAAGCCCCCTTGATCATCCTGTCCTTTGAGAAAATGTGTCTAGATTACCCCTTAAAAAAATGATCACCCCTTTGGGATTTCCCCCCAAAATGGTCACTATAACCTACTGAGCTGACCTATCCCTTCACTTTAACTGGCCTAGTAGATCCTCTCAGAAGCCAGTGTTTTAAAGGCACCTTAAATGAGACAAAAACAAGTACATCTATGACTGAGAGAACCTATCTGTAGCTATCCACTGATTGCAGAGACAAGTTTAAAGCTCATTTTATTTGCAAGAAACTTGTGCATGCATGACCTGGAATCCTAGTAGCAACACTTTAGAATTATCCACATAGGCTATCTCGGTGGGGACCTGTACTCAGGAGGAGGTATCAAAAGTGCTCTACCACTTAGAAAAACCGGCCCCCAACTCCCTCCATCACCTTTCCAGTGGGAGAGATCTGCAACTGACAGAATCATAAGCTGTGAATGATACTCTGGCTTTACTGGAAGTACCCTTGCCTGTCTCCAAGGAACTGAGATAGAATTTGACCCAGGAAAGGAGATGGAGTGTCATCCAAACCACATCAGAGATGTGGAGCTGACAGCAACACTCCATCCTTGGTGGATGCTAATTTTAAAGATTGGCTGTTCTTCATAAGAGAAATATTAACATGAGATCCTACTGAATCATTAATAGTGAGACATTTTTTAATCATCATAACAGAGCACGGGAGAGTTGAAGAAATAGGAAAACTGACATTAAATGGCTGGTATTACTAGCAGGACTAGGTGAGTGGGACAAGAAACATCCCCACGCCTCAGTGGGTACAACAAGGTGAGGCCTCCTCAGTAGGCTACTCACCACCTTCCATAAGAGCACCAAGAGTGAGTCCTGAGACTGCACAAGGCCATGACCAGACCTCAGTCTGCTTCCCAGGATTACTTCCTCAACTCTACTCCCCTGGCACTTTATCACATGGTCCGCTGTACTACGTGTAAGACGACAATATTGTGTATACTACACTAGAAAGTACATATGCTCTGGAATTAGATAAAACTGGTAGTCTTGCCTTGATTACAGCATTGGTTTCCCTGTCCCTTTAATCCCTTCTCCATTTCTTCCTACAGACTAATGATTTTTTTTTTTAAGGTATGCAAGAGAATTTATTTAGTTTTGTGAGGTTTGCTTTTGCAACAATACATACCCTTGGCACAGAAGACCTTACTGAATTTTCACAAATGATCTAAAATTAAATATTTAAGTTGATGTTATGAGACTTATAAAAGTTTGAGAAAGTTTCTAGGTTTAGGATTTGCATACATGATCACATCAAAAAGAAAACAATCTAAGGACAAGATTTTTTAATAGTCCTCAAAATATAATAAATTACAACTTATAATCACACATTTATTCCTATTCCATATTCACTTTTGTCTCTGAAGGTATTTTCCAGTTTAAACTCTGACATTTTTCTGAATATGCTACAAATAATACATTTGTGTTTACCTCCCGTTTCAGTACCACAGCCACCTGCTGTCACCCTGGGCTCTGCTCTGACCCTTTAGAGGAGGATGTACTTATTCAGCCAGCTAGAGTCAGTAAACTTGTGAACCAAAAATATCAAGAGAATTAAAAACATTAATCGAGTCATAATGCCAGTATTTTTATCCAATTTCAGAAAAATTCCTTTTTGACAGCAGCAATTCTGCTTGGTAAATTCTTTCCTTTCTAAACTGAAACCCATAGAAAAGGGAAATTATAAGAAGGCTCTGAAAAAGTTTACTGGACATTGTGTGCTTTTAATAGTTCAACACCGGTAATTCTTGTTAATCAAGAGTAAATTGATAGGCTAACATTTAAAAATGCATAATAAGTATAAAGTATATAAACAACTTGGTGAGCTTGTGGAGAAGCTGACCTAGATACATAAGTTAG